TTTTCTACATTCAGTGGGGATCTGCGCAATACCCAGTTTTAATATGTACGTGTATTTCAATAACACCCTGTATATGTATTTATGTATTGTATTTATTTATGTATTGATTTATGTAGTAGTTTACATTTATATTAAACAGTAATATAATTAATTATAGGAACAGGAGAAAAATAAATCACTCTATTACTTAATTACTTAATTCCTAAATTGAGGTCACCCTCTAAATAATATTTAAAATGAAAACTTCTACTCTAGTGCACGATTGTACTTAAAGTACTGTGTGTGCACTCTTTTTCTTATACATGTATCTTTGAGATTTTTTTTTTATTTTTTTTTTTAAATAACAAAAAATATATTCTTATTTAAGCTAAGTATAACAGATTTTTGTACTAAAGTAGTAGAAATGTGGTAACAATAATTCGATAGGAGATAGTAAAATAAGTATATATATATATGAACAATAATTGTGTGATATATTATTTAAAATTAAACTTAAAATTAAACTATATAATTAATTACATAATTGCTTTGGAGTATCCACTGTCTTATCTCTTTTTTACACTTAGAATATGGTTTTACTTTAATATCATTAGGAAGGCAGTTAAAGATTTTTGGACCAAGACAATAAATATGATTTTGGCAAATGATGTGCTTGGGGTTTTGGCGTGCGACATTGTTTTGAGCTGCATTTCTTGTGTTACGCCCATGGCTTATGGATTCCTTATAGTAGGAAAATTTTAACATGAATCTAACTACTGCTTTAAGGTGTAACTGTCTAATATCTAATAACTGACTCTTTTTGAAAAGCAATTCAGTAGGAAACCTTTTATTTTTAAATAACATAATTTTTATGATATATTTTTGTGCAACCTGTAGTTTGTTTAAAACCGTCACTCCGGCACTACCCCAAACCACCAACCCATAATTCAAAATTGATTCAGCCAGTGCATAATACACCATTTTTAATGTGCTAAAACTCAAGACATGGCGTAACTCATAAAATTTATGTATTAATTTCCTTATTTTGCTTGTCACATAGGTAATATGTTCTTTCCAAGTAAAATTTTGATCTACAAGAACCCCTAAGTATTTTATACATGTCACCCTGTCAATCAATTTATTGCATTCACAATTCTGGTTTAGATCACAGTCATGGTTATGTATTTTTAGGTTTTCAAATTCTGGTAGTGAGCGTGGGGAGAGAACAAAAGTGACAAATTTTGTTTTGTTGACATTTAAGGATAGTAGGCTATTGTCTAGCCATCTCTTGATTATTTGCATTGCTTTCTCTGCACGATCCTTTGTACTCTCCCAATCGTCACCCCAAAACAGTATACCAGAATCATCGGCAAAGCAGATCACCACGCCATTCTCAGCCAAAACTGACATCATGTCATTGATATATATATATATATATATATATATATATATATATATATATATATATATATATATATATATATATATATATATATATATATATATATATATATATTAAATAATAACGTTGAAAGGACTGTCCCCTGTGGCACACCAAATTCTACTTCCATTTATTCACTAACTTCATTTATGATTTTTGTACATTGCTTTCTTTCTAAATAAGATTTGATTAGGTTATTTGGTGTTCCTCTAATACCCATACAGTTTAAACGTTTTAGTAGAATTTGGTGTGCCACAGTGTCAAAGGCCTTTTGAAGGTCAAAAAAGATACCTATAACTTTTTTCCCTTGGTCCAGTTTCCGTAAAATTGTCTCAGTTACTCTACATAGTGCGTTCTCAGTACTGGAATTTTCCAGAAACGCAAATTGATTTTCGTTTAGTAATTAATTTTTTTCTAAAAAGGATAACATTCTAAGTTTAATACATTTTTCAAGTAGCTTACTTATTGTACTCGTTAAGGCAATGGGTCTATAATTATTTGTACTTTTTTTGTCTCCCTGCTTATATAGTGGAATTATAGTTGCTGTCTCAAAGATTTCGGGAAAAATTCCAGTACTGAAAACTACATTTACTAAGTGTGATAATGGCTTTATCAAGTATTCTTTATATTTTTTTACAAGATCGGAACTAATACAGTCTTTTCCTCCCTTTACCTTGTTTTTCAGGTTGTTTATTTCCTTGATAAGCTCAGTGTCAGTGATTGGATTCAAGTAGCAAGATTTTGTTACCCTTTGGATGCCCTGCTCTTCTACTAGTACCACAGAATTTTTAATTTTTTGTGCAAGTTTTTTACCTATTTTTGAGAAATAATTATTAAATTCATCCGCTATTTGTGTTTTACTTGAGAGCTCTGTTATCGGAACTGATTATACTTTTTATTTCTGATTGGGTGTTATGATCATTTGTGGCTTCTCTAACTACTCGCCATAGTTTTTTTGGGTCTTTCAAATTTTTTTGAGCAAGTTTTTTGGAGGTCGGTGTCAGGTGACGGTAACACCGAGTTAGGATTTGTAAGTACAAAATATACTTATATTTGTTAAACATTTGAACTAAATATTTTTTATTTTACAGAAAACGGGAAAAGAAAATAGGAAAATGGATAAAGCTATAGAAGTGCCACCATCACCACCACCTCTGGCACAAATTGCATCAACATCATCCTCCTCTACCGCAACAAAAAGAAAAACAGGTGTAGAGGAGATGATTCACCGGAAAAAACTTAAATGTACCCAAACAGAAAAAATTTGTTTCGATAAATAGGATGCATGCGGAACAATTAGACATTTTAAAACAAATTGACAATAAAGTAGGGGTGATGTCCTCTGTGATTGTTGAAATTAAAGATGATTTTAAGCGATTTGTTAATCACATGATTGAAAAGAATCTGTGATTTATTTGTTTTCATTCGTTTTAAGAATTTTTTTTCTGTTCATCAGTGTTTTTTTTTGTTTTCATTAGTTTTAGAATTATTTTTTCATTTGTGTTGATTAGAATGTTTTTCTTATGTATAAATTAATTTTGTTGAGTATTTATTTGTTTATTTACTTAGTTTCAAGAAAACTTGTGATGTTTCTGTGAAACTTTTTGTGTTAACTGTTAAAAATAAATTGCAATATTAAAGTACTAACTTTATATTAATTTATTTATTCCAGCTTGATATTAAAAATGTGTTATAATAATAATTATAATGATAATATAATAATAACAATTAATAATCAAATAATAATCGTAATAAATTTAATAATAATTACTGAAAATATGCATTGATGAGCTGTTGGCGCCTTTGTTGTCCTTCTACAACTACATTTTGTGGTGCATTGTTCCGCAAATCATCTATATCTTCGTCAATATCTCTTTCAACCTCTTCTTCATGATCCTCATCTAAAGGAACGTTCCCCATAACACAAATATTGTGCAACAATCCACAACAATTAATAATTTGTCCTGCTTTATATGGAGAATACCTAAGGACTCGCTCTTTATTAATGCATCTTAAACGCATTTTTAAAACTCCTAAAAACACATAATACGATAAATTAATAATGATTAGTTGCATAAAAAAATGTATTTACCTATACACCTTTCTACAGTGCATCGAGCGGAAACTAAAGCACCATTGTAGCGGCTTTCTGGCGAATTTCTTGGTGCATTTCTTATCGGAGTCATCAGCCATGGTTCCTGAGGATATCCACTATCGCTCAACAACCATGTGTTGTGATCACCATTCTGATAATTTTCTTCCAAAAAATTTGTAGCTGCACTATTTCGCCAAATGAAAGAGTCGTGTGTTGCACCACCAAAATTTGCATTTAGGCTTAAAATAACTAAATCTGCATCACAAATTATTTGCACATTCTTCGAATGACACCCTTTTCTGTTTAAATATAAATGTTCATCTTCATTTGGTTTCACTATTGCAACATGTGTGCCATCTACGCAGCCAATAATTCCGGGAAAATTGAATGCATTCCAAAAAGCTTGTTTTTTTATCCCGCATTTGTAGGGAATTTTATATACCTATGGGCAATGTCTTCAATGGCATTGCATACTTCTCTGATAATGTCGCTCATTGTCTGCTGGGCTACATAAACATTTTGGTTTGCTCCAATGCATTTTTGGTAAGAACCATGAGCAAAAAATCTCAGAGCAGCAAGAACTCTTAGGTTAATTGGTAATCTTGTATTTCTTTACCCGTGGTTCATATGCGGCTCAAGTTCAGCAATTAAATTTTGAGCTAATTCTTTGGTCAGTCTATACATTTTCCTAAACTCTTCATCTGGCAATTCGAATGGATTACTTTCATTTCTTAGAGTTCGTCTTTCTCTGGCAAGTTCTTCTCTCCGCTCTTCCTGTTCCGCATCATAAATTTCATTATAAAACGCTGGTATCATTTTCACAAAATTAGTAAAATTATTAAATACATAAACATAACCACAAATTAGAAATGACAAATAACTCGCTTTTCAAGTTTCAAATTAATATTTTAGTGAAATCTCGAATATCCCTAAATTTACCTAATGTTTTTAGTTTATTTTGAAAGGTTATTATAAAAGTATAGAGAAAACCGAACGTTTCCGATCAATCGTAGAGAAGTCTATCGGCGGTGCATTTCATCGATAGAAATAAATTTCCTTTCTATTTCTATCTCTTGCTCTACTCCACAAAGTTAGGCGGTACGCTCGCAGTAGTTTTTAACCTTATGTGGTCATGTAACTACCTGCTTATCCATCAGTGAAGTATTTTATCAGAAATTTCATAAATAAGATAATTTATCTCTTAGAAGTTAGGTTTATCCAGAGGTGAAAAGATTACTTTTTAAGTTACTTGGAAGATAAAAATTACCTGACACTTTATCTGAAGGTGAAAAGATCGACCCTTAAACGTTGTACCTGGTAGTAAAGGTGATTGGTCAAATAAGATAAATAAGTATGTTTGTTTACATATTTCTACATAACATTTAGTTCAACGAACTATAGTACTTAATGATACTGTTTTAAAACAATTATTACATTATGTTTTTTATTGACACAGATCCCATAATAATAATAATAATTATTAGGTACGTTTACAAAAAATTATTATTGGTAGTTCAATTATATAGCATGTGGTGGGTAAATATATAGTTTTCTGCTAGTAATAATATATTTGTCCATTTCACTGAATCGTAAAGGCCATTAGTACTTTTTAATAAATACATACCACCCCCATTTCCACATTTCTATCTCCTGTCACAATCTTCCAACCTATTATACCTATTAGTCTTTCCTCAATGGGGGTCAACTGTGGTAATGGTCCACCTCCCCCCGTCTTCTTGATACCACATTGAATTTCTTGGGCTTTTATTTTAATTTTGCTTTTCCACTTGCCAAACACCTGAAAGAGAAAATAGGATTTTCTCCCTATTTGAAGAAGCAAGGGCAAGAAGTACAACATAGAGCTAGTTAAAATTAAATAATGAAAAAAATACCAGATTAAAACAAGCATATTTCTTAGATTTTTGGTATTGCTTTGCTTTTGAGTATAAAGTATAAAAATATAATGTGTATTTTATACATACCTCTTGCCATTTTTTGCAATCTTTACTACCAAACCCAGTACTATTTAGAAGGGTCGTTAGCTCTTCCCACAGTTTGTTAAAATTTTCCCTTCCATTAATGCCCACAAATTTATGAGTAACCATTTCTGGGTGCTGCTCAATAAAGTCCACGAGAGTGGACCATTGGAAAGAATGTGTTCTCGGAACTCTTCCACTCATGTTTATAAATATTTTTTTTTTAGTTTTATTAATATTGTGATTAAATACAAACGGACAATCCACATAAAAATAAAGTAAACTTAAAATGTCAAAACAAAACTGCCAAATCAAGTTCTTAATATAAATAAAGAAAGAGTTATACCCCTTCCATACATTAAAGCGAGACATATTCTTAAGTGACGAGGTCTTAGCGATCTCTTTCCCAGTGACAATCGTACATGTTCGGTTCAGTCGTAAGTAGTCGAAGAGAGTTAAAGAGTAGAAAAACGTCAAAAGAAGTCGGGATAGAGAAAATATCTCTTGCCTTTCTCATATTTCTAGTTATTCTACAGAATATTATAGATTTACTTTCAAAAAACCAAATTTTTTAAAATTGATCCAAATTTTAAAAAAAGTTGTATAAATTCTTCCCTCAAATTTAAAAAAAAAAACAACTTTTAAATATGTCCGTACGTCTGATATAACGTTTATTGTCTGCACGATAAGTCAAAAACGAAAAGTGATATCAATTTAAAAAAATCTGAATTAAATTAAGGGTTAAGGGGAGTTAAAATATTAAAAAAAGCTTAACTCAAAAACGAAAAATTATATCAACTAAATTTTTAGCAAAAATCAAGCTGTATAGAAGACGAAGCTTAATGATTTTGAAAGAAATCTCAATAAAAATGGGGGGGTTAAGGTGGGATCAAATTTAAAGGAAATCAGAATAGAAAAACATAAAATTTTTAGTATAATCAATCTACAAGAGGATGATTAAAAAGGAAGTTAAGAGGTTATGTCGAACTATGAAGAGTATTATATGGAATGCTAAGCATTATATGTCTTTGTTCTGATTTATTTATTTTCTTCATTCTAATAGGCTTACTAGTCTCGTTACACGATACTTAAAAGACATAATATTATAAGTATTAAAGAATTAACATATTAGGAATATATGGGCGGGATTAAAAACAAAATAACACACAAATAATTATCTGAAGAAGGGTATCCAGTCACTTATAGTGATTTCGCTTATATCACTTTTCTGGTGTGGCTTACTTACACATTGGCCATATCCGTACTCCAGTAATGTGCCTGTTGGAAATGAGAGTAATAGTTAGTGTTTTTGTATATTTGTTTTAGATATAGTATATATAGTTGCTATGTAAAACATAATTTATTATTATTAATTGACGATATAATTTTTGAGTTGAATAAAGTCATTTTGAGAACTTCTTTATTTTTAATACAGAAGAGTGAACCAGGTAGGTCTTACTCATTCTGAACATTGTGGCGACCGTGACAGGACGAACCAGTTCCTTTTTCGACATGGAGAAAATTCAGCGGCTTTTAAATATTCAACGAACGGCCTTTACTGAAGCTTATGAAGTTATAGCTGGTGATTTGAAACTTCCTGAACCCGATATTACCGCTATTAAAGGTCGTATTCAAGTTTTGGATAACAAGGTCGAAGATATCAATCTTCTTAGTAAGCAGCTGATTGATTTTTTATTAGATAAAGGCGAATCTGGTGAATCAGATCTAATAAATGAAATAAAGAAATCTGATTATTTGAATTACCATTTTAATCAACTAAAGTTTAGCTTTGAAGAACTTTGTGCAAAAAATTCTTCGCAGAGCGTTTGTGGTAGTCATTTAAGCCACTCTAGTAATTGTTTGAAATCTAAATTGAAGCTCCCACGTATAGAATTTACAAAATATGGTGGAGATTTGAAAGGGTGGATTCCATTTTGGAGCCAGTTCAAGAGGATTCACGATGATTCAAGTATTGAAGCCGAAGATAAATTTCAATACCTGCTTCAAGCTACAACACCGAAATCTATGGCAAAGTAATTAATAATTTAAAAACAAGATTTGTAAATGAAGAACTATTGATTGAATTTTATGTTCGTGAATTGTTAAAATTAGTTCTAAACAATTTAAAGACTAAAACTAATCTTGCCACTCTCTATGATTGCCTTGAATGCCAGCTTCAGTCCTTGGAGATCTTAGGCGTAACCTCTGATAAATATGCTTCGATGTTATTCCCTTTGGTTGAGTCATGTCTTCCCGAAGATCTCCTGAGAGTGTGGCAAAGAAGCCAGGGTAATTCAGAATTTGATTCATCTTCAAGCAGTAACAAATATACAAATTTGCGATTAACCAAACTCATGGATTTCTTGAAGAAAGAGGTCGAAGGTGAAGAAAAAATTAGCCTAGCTACATCTTGTTTCGATATGAAATGTAAGAAACCTGAAATAAGACAAAATATTTCTGTGTCCACGGCTTCTGAACTCATTAATTGTCAGAAATATTTAAAATGTGTTTTTTGTAAAGGTGACCATAAGAATGAAGATTGCACTGAGGCTAAGCAAATTAATTTAATAGAGAAGAAAAAGATTTTGTCGTCTACAGGATGCTGTCATTTATGTTTAAAGTACGGACACATAGCTCGTAGATGCAGAGTCAGATTGCATTGCTTACATTGTAAACAGAGCCATGCCACTTTGATGTGCCCAAAACAATCCAAAAATGAAGAAGCGGCCGTCAGTAGTTCTATAATAAAAGAAAATGTAGAATCCCTGTCAAATAATACGTATCACCAGATATTTTTACAAACCCTTTTGGTGGAGTTGAATAATGGAACCCATTCAAGAAAGGTGAGATGCATCATAGACACTGGTTCCCAACGTTCATATATCAATAAGTTTGTTGCTTCTGAAATGAAACTACAGTCACTTGGAAAAGAGATACTAATACATGCACTTTTTGGTGGTCAGTCTGAAGTCGTCACTCATACTGTATATAAAATTAGATTAGATAGTATAGATAAGAAATATGCATGTAACTTCCAAGTTTTAGATCAACCCATAATTTGTACGAATATCAGTTCTATCCCTAAAGGTTCCTGGATGTCTGAGCTAACAGATTTGGGAATAGAAATATTTGATATCAAAGATGCTCCAATTAATGTGTTAATAGGTGCCGATATTGCTGGTAAACTTTTTACTGGTAAAAAATACAATTTACTTAGTGGTTTGGTGGCTATGGAGACCCAACTGGGATGGACTCTTCTTGGAAAAGTTTCCAATGTCTATTTGAAAACCTCCAGCATAAGTTTGAACATGAGAAAAGTTTCCAATGTCTATTTGAAAACCTCCAGCATAAGTTTGAACATGATAACGTCTCTTTTATGTAAAAATTACCAGATAACAAAATTATGGAGTCTTGATATTCTTGGAATATCCGATCCTGGTAATAATAAATCCAAGAAAGAATTAGAACTGGTTGTGATGCAACATTTTCATGACACAGTTCATGTCGCTGATGGAAGATACGAGGTTGCTTTACCCTGGTTAGAAGGCCATCCACCAATTCCAAGTAATTTTTACGACGTCTAGACAACTTAATGGTAAAGTTGAAGAAGGATGGATACTATGACGAGTACAACAATGTTTTCTCGGAATGGTTAGCTGAAGGCGTCATCGAATTTGTACCCAGAGGTGAAGAAATGAAGGAAACCGTCCATTATTTATCTCACCGACATGTGGTAAAACTTGATAGTACTACAACCAAACTAAGGCCAGTTTTTGATGCTTCTGCACGAGAAAAAGGTTTCCCTTCTTTAAATCAGTGCTTAGAAAAAGGAATTAATCTTTTAGATTTGATACCTTCTTGTTTAATAAGATTCCGACTTTCTAAAATTGGGGTAATTGCTGATATAAGAAGGGCCTTTCTTCTAAATGGCATCCTAGAGGCTGATCGAGACTTTCTGCGTTTCTTATGGTATGATAAAGATCGTAATCTTATATATTTTCGAGACGCAAGAGTTGTTTTCGGGGTGACTTGTAGCCCTTTCCATCTTAATGCTGTCTTGCAGTTGCATTTAAATCGTGTTTTGGTAGATTGTCTTGAGAGTAACTCTCAGTATTCTTTTTCTGTTATTGATAAACTTCGTAAAAGTTTTTATGTGGATAACTGCGTCTGCAGTGTTGACTCAGAAGAAGAGTTGAGAGAATTTATTGATCAATCAACCAAGGTTATGAATGAAGCAAAATTTGACTTACGTCTCTGGGAATACACTGTATTCAATGATGTTATACCTGACACGTTCGTGCCCAATCTTTTGGGGTTGAAGTGGAATCGTATTGAGGATACTTTAGAAATTTGTTTTGATTGGTTCAAGACTTCTAATTTGCAAACTATTACTAAACGAACCATTCTATCCTTTGTGAACAAAGTATATGATCCTCTTGGATTTATATGTCCTGTTCTTTTGTTCATAAAAATATTACTGCAGAAGATGTGGTCTCTTAAGATAGGATGGGACGCCGAAGTACCTCTTGAAATTAAAAATACATTTGTCGATTGGATTCATAATCTTATTTGTTTAGTTCATTTTAAAATTCCTAGATATCTTTCACATCCATTGTTGTCTAAGTTAGAAATAGATTCTAAAAGTCTTCATCTTTTCACAAATGCCAGCCAATATTCTTATGCCGCAGTAGTTTTTTTGAGGACTGAAGATAATAAGGGTTCCTGCTCTATCCAACTTATTCAAGCTAAGAGTAGACTAGCTCCAATTCGGAATAAGATATCTATTCCACGATTGGAGTTATTAGCAGCTACCATTGGTGCCAGACTTTTATCTTCAATATTATCTGCATTTGATGTTGAAATTCCGGTTTATTGTTGGTCAGATTCAAGTACAGTGTTAGCTTGGATTCATCGTGAGGACCAATGGAAGCCGTTTGTATGGAATAGAGTTAAAGAGATTTAGTCGTTGACTAAGAAAGAAGATTGGTATTTCATTCCTGGTCAATTAAATCCTGCCGATTTGCCCTCCAGAGGTTGTTCTTCGAAACATTTGTTGCAGTCTAGATGGTGGGAGGGTCCTTTTTGGTTACTGCAGGAAAAGCAGTTTTGGCCTAGTGAAAATTATGCCGCTGACAAATCAACAGAGGAAGAATTAAATCGTTCTACTACATCATATGTTAATGTTAAACATGACTTCTCTTGGTATTACAGATACTTCTCGGATTATCAAAAAATTATAAATTTAATTGG